GGTTGTAGGCAGGGAGTGATGTGGTCAGATTGGCCACTTGGACCACTCCGGGGGCTGCAGGAAGGATGGTCTGAAGCACTGAGAGACCAGTTAGGAGGCCATCTGGGTCAGGACAGGGGGAAGCCCAAACCAAGGCAGTGGCAACAGGCCAAGATGGAAGAAGGTGGATTCAGTGGATACTTAGGAAGTGGAAGTAAAAGAGTCAGGTTCAAGGGGCTGTGGGAAGGAGGGAGGAGGCAGAAGAGGTAGGAGGCTCTATGAAACAGGAGACGCAGTACAGGAGGAGCGGCAGACCCGGGGAGTGAGCAGGGGGATGAAGAGGTCAGTTTGGGGCCAACCTGGGTTTGCAGTGACTGTGGGGGAAGCAACAGTTGTCTTTCCAGGTGTGATGCTCAGGAGAACTACGGTCCTGTTTCTGATTACGGACTGGCACTCTTCATGATTTTTTGCATGTGTTCTCCATTTAGAGGACAAAACCAAACATCTCCGAGACAGTTTCTCAGGATGATGGTTACCGGGGAGGGGAGCCCAACTTCAAAAGCTTGCTTGTTACACTGCCCCCTGTTGTCCCCTTCTGGGAAGAGCAGTGTTCAAATGCTTTATTTTATTTTATTATGTTATGTTACTCACCATACATTATATCATTAGTTTTTGATGTAGTGTTCCATAATTCATTGTTTGCGTATAACACCCAGTGCTCCATTCGATATGTGCCCTCTTTAATACCCATCACTGGGCTAACCCATCCCCCCACCCCCTACCTTCTAGAACCCTCAGTTTGTTTCTCAGAGTCCATAGTCTCTCATGGTTTGTCTACCCCTCCGATTTCCCCCCCTTCATTTTTCCCTTCCTACTATCTTCTTCTTCTTCTTCTTCTTTTTTAACATATAAGCTATTATTTGTTTCAGAGGTACAGGTCTGTGATTCATCAGTCTTATACATTTCACAGTGCTCACCATAGCACATACCCTCGTCAATGTCTATCACCCAGCCACCCCATCCCTCCCACCCCCCACCACTCCAGCAACCCTCAGTTTGTTTCCTGAGATTAAGAATTCCTCATATCAGCTTCCAGGACAAACAAAAACTAAAAGAATTTGCAAACATGAAACCAGCCCTGCAAGAAATATTGAAAGGGGTCCTCCAAGCAAAGAGAGAGCCTAAAAGTAACATAGACCAGAAAGGAACACAGACAATATACAGTAACAGTCACCTTACAGGCAATACAATGGCACTAAATTCATATCTTTCAATAGTTACCCTGAATGTAAATGGGCTAAATGCCCCAATCAAAAGACACAGGCTATCAGATTGGATAAAAAAAACAAGACCCATCGATATGTTGACTGCAAGAGACTCATTTTAGACCCAAAGACACCTCCAGATTGAAAGTGAGGGGTGGAAAATCATTTACCATGCTAATGGACATCAAAAGAAAGCTGGGGTGGCAATCCTTATATCAGACAAATTAGATTTTAAACCAAAGACTATAATAAGAGATGAGGAAGGACACTATATCATACTTAAAGGCTCTATCCAACAAGAAGATCTAACAATTGTAAATATCTATGCCCCTAACATGGGAGCAGCCAATTATATAAGCCAATTAATAACAAAATCAAAGAAACACATCGACAACAATACAATAATAGTGGGGGACTTTAACACCCCCCCCTCACTGAAATGGACAGATCATCTAAGCAAAAGATCAACAAGGAAATAAAGGCTTTAAATGACACGCTGGACCAAATGGACTTCACAGATATATTCAGAACATTCCATCCCAAAGCAACGGAATACACATTCTTCTCTAGTGCCCATGGAACATTCTCCAGAATGGATTACATCCTAGGTCACAAATGAGGTCTCAACCGGTACCAAAAGATTGGGATCATTCCCTGCATATTTTCGGACCACAATGCTTTGAAACTAGAACTCAATCACAGGTGCTTCTTAATAGGGCTCTGATTTGGGCTTTTGAAAGCCAGTCAGACAGGAAGAGGGGTGATTCGGGGGCACAGGCTCCCAGACAAGAATGCCAGCCCAGGCTTTACGGCTTGCTAGCTGGGTGACCTTGGCAAAGTCACTTAACCTCTCTGCACGTCACTGAGGATAATAATAGTACGGAGCTCATGCAGTTGTGAGGACTCCATGAGCTAACAGGGGAAGGCATGTGAAGAGCACTCAGCGCACTGCCTGAGCAAAGCTTCAGTGAACATTGGCTCTGCTGGAACCAGTCCTGCCTCCCTGTCTACTGTTGGTTGGACCCGAGATCAGGGCCTGAGGCAAGGCAACTTAATGGACCTTCAGGTCCATTCCCATTGCCCAGGGATGAACCAACTCCTCCATGCCGGGGTTGGAGGGACAGGCACCGCCTCAGACCCAACCCCAAGAACCCAGCCTCCAGAGCGCAACAGCTATCATTTCCTCAGGCTAAACCCCTGGACCCACAGTGACCCAGGAGTCCCTCTGCCACCGGATGGAGCTGAAGGAACATGAAATATATCCCAAAGTCCTCACCTGAGCTCATCGCTGCAGCCTGTTTTGAACCTTCTCGTGTTAGCAGTTTCCCTCCCACCTGAGTGACTTGCTTCACATCTGCTGTCAGCTCCGTGACTAAGATGTCACCCGGCCCTGCTGGGGTTTGGGGCTCAGTCCGCCTCTTCCCACATTCAGATGTCAGAACATTCTGATGAGCCTCGACTCTGTTGTGTTTACATCCAATCCAATCCAGTCGCTGCCTTGGCCCTCAGTTCTGCCTCCTATCTAGGAATGGGGGTTGTTGGTTCTGAGTCACCTTTTCGGGTCACTTGAGGCGAGAAACAGGCGTATTCAGTCAGAAAGAGAGTGTCCTGAGCAGCCAGAAATATTCAGACAGGCTTTCAGAGGCCAGTGGTCCAGGGGGTGGACTCCATGGTTCCCTGGCTGGGAGACACCTGGCCAGTCACATAACCTCTTCAACCCCCACTTTCCACCATTTGCAATACTTACATCATAATGTTATTCGTACTTCTTAGCGCTATTACAGGCAGTACGTGTTAGCTATTAGCATTGACCACTTCCGATGTGCCACACTGGTGCTAGAAGTATCATTCCAGCCTAGGTCAGTATTATTGTGTCCATTTTATAGACAGGGCTCGGAGAGTCTGCATAACTGGCCCGCAGGCTTGGATATTCAGAAAAGAACAAATATGTCTCGATGCTTTTACCTAGAAGTCCCTCCGGTTGTCAACATTCACCAAGCCTGCCCCAAGCGCTGGGCTTTAGAGTTTCAGAAATGAAGGAGGCGCACCTCTTCCCCTGGAAGAGCCCATAATTTCTGTGGGCCCCAGGGGGCGCCATTCGCACCGCGAAAGGGCAAGTCGAAGGTCTGGAGGAAGGGACGCCTTTCTCCAGTTGGCAAGAAAGTGTCGCTGGGGCTGGCGGTGACGCTGCCCTGGGCCGGGGTGCTCAGCCCGGTGCTCAGCCCTCTTCCGCCAGGGGGTCCCGAGCCGGCGGGAGAGGCGGGCGGTTCGGCCTCACCGCCCGGGGGCGCGCCAGCCCGCTCGGGTCGTTGGAGAGCACCCCATCCCCCATCCCACCCAGCTAGCCCACGCGGTCAGTCTGCACGCTCTGGTTCTCTTTCAGCTCAGCTCCGGGGAACTGAGGCCCTGACAATCGGCTCGGTCTTATCTGCCTCCTGCAGGGACCTCACTCTGCCCTGCAAACGCCCCTCTGGCTCCGGCTGATGTCCTTCTACAGCTGGAATCAGGAATCACACAGAACCAGGCATCTACTGCCCATCTCCCTGGGCCCCTAGGACCCTTGCTCCTGCTGCCCCAGGGACATTTATGAGCACTTCCATGGGCCCAGCTCCGCGCCAAGCACTTTTACAGATTATCCCTTTTAGTCCCGATGAACAGGGAGATGCTATGGTAATTGCCATGGTACAGTGGGGGTCCCCTGGGGGTGTTCTGTGTGCCCCCAGATTCTCCTGCTCCTCCACCCTCCTCTTCTCAGCTCCTCCATGGCTGGTGTGGAACAGGGATGGGAAAAGAAGGGAAAGATTTTCCTTCTGGCGCCCATGTCCTCGGGTGTGCTTTTGCTCTGGCCAGAGCTACGTTTCAAGCTGGCTAGGTTTTTCCCTGGAGGACTGTTTTGAGGGTTCTTTGGAGCCCCCATTGCTAGGAATGCCTCCCACTGTACTTTCCTTCCTGGGCAGGGCTTCCTCTGATTGGTTGCCTGGGACACCCTACTCAAGGACCACCTCCACTGGGTCCCACTGCCCACTCCCCTTCTGCCCCAGCTCCAAGTCACTGCTCTTCCTCAGCTGGTCCCCCCAGAAGCCAAGGCTCCATGCAGACAGGGTTCACCCTGCACATCTGATTCCACCATCAAGCGGCCACCCAGGTTGGCATCCCTCCTGCAAGTTTTCCCAGACGTGGGTCCCACCCAGCCTCTGAGCACCCTTGGAATCCAGGACACCTAGGCCAAGCCCTGCAGATGGGCTCCCTGAAGCCCGGCTCACTCAGCCTTCCAGGAGGGGAGGCCCCCGCCATGCACCTTCCCCCATGGGGCGGGAGAAGTAGAGCACCCCAACAGTTCCTTGTAGAGAGAGCCCCCCCTCTGCCTTCCAACTGCTCCTGCTGGCATCTCTCCCTGCTGTAAGCAGGAGGGCCCATCTCCTGAGGTTTCTAAAACTAGTTCTTAACCACCTGGGTTGAAAGAACTGCTGTAGATGGTCTAGCACCTTGTTTTAGAATGTGGGTGCAGTTAGCAGCTCTGGCTGAAACTGGATCAGAAAAGCCTGCGTTGAAAAAATAGCATTTTATGTTGAAGCAATTTCAGACTTGGAGAAAAGTTGCAAAAATAATACCAACAATTCTGGTGGAGCCTCCGCTCAGATTCACCAAATGCTCACATTTTACTACGTTGGCTCTTCCATTCTCTGAGAGCAAATCACAGAGCTAATGACCTTTCGCTTTTGAACTCTTCCGTGTGATCCACACATCAGGGCATTCTTTTAAATAACCACAGTGCAATTACCAACGTCAGGAAAGGAGCATCGGTACAATACCATTAACTGATCTGCAGATTTCTTCAAATCTCCATTTGTCTTGCTAATGTCCTTTATAAGCAAAAGAAGGGGAAAAGTCCTTTAGGATCCATCCAGCAAATAACGCATTCCGTTGTCATGGCTCTTTACTCTTCTGATCTGGAACAGTTCTTCAGTCTTTCTTTGGCTCCCATTTTTGAGGAGAATGGACTGTTTATTTTGTAGAATGCCCTCGGTTTGGGTTTGTCTGATACTTCCTCATGATTACACTCATTGTGTGCATTTTGGGCAGGAACCCCCAGAAGCAGAGCCGTGTCCTCATGCCTCCGATGAGGAGGACACGTGTCAGTTCATCCCGTTGCTGGTAAGGTCAACTGGTCATTTGTGAAGGTGGTGTCAGTTAAGTTGCTGATCTGTACAGTTCCTGTCTGGCGCTTCGAATTCATCAGTATCTTATGGGGAGATACATGGAGACTATATTAATATCCTGCTTTCCAGCAAACACTTTATCCCATCATTTATTTTAATATTCATTGATGATTCCTGCTATACCTATTACTATGACAATTGCCAAATTGTGATTTTTCTCCCTACGTCCATTGTTTCTTCTACATTTCTTAGTAGCATTCTGTTGTCAGATGGGAGCTGTCGGAGCAGATACCACAGTGAGTCAGGCCAAGGGCCAAGTCAAGATAGCAGAGGCTGGACATGAGTATCAGGCAGCCAGAAATTGCTTGGAGCCAGGGGAGCGAAGAGCCAGCGGGTAGTGTGAGGGTGGGTAAGCCAGAGGCCCTGTACCTCCCCAGGGGACGTCTCTAGCTCTGCTCTCGGAGGTGCCCAGAGCAGCTCTTGATAGTTGGGAGCTCTTGCCTGGCCCACGGCAGTCTCTAGCTGCTTCTGCCTGTCCCTGCCTCTCACGTCACGCCCCTTAACTCTCCCAGAATCCTGTGCAGCCACCGGCAGTGCCTTTGTAGCCCCGGCCTGTCAGAAGAGCAAGCATGGGTCTGGTACTGAATTCCTACCCTAACCCGCTCTCCACAGGTGGGAGGGAGCATTTACCTGCCCCTTTGCCCCCCAAACCCTTGGGGGAGGAGAGAAAGGGGTGCTTCCTGGAACCTTAGGGAAAGAAGTAAACCCAGGTGAACAAAATTCATTATCTAGCTGCTTTCTTGCTTTCAAATTAGGAAAAGTCAACTGGGCAGCATCAAAAGCATCCCCATCCTTGGGTGAGGCTCTCCCTTTTCATTGCTCACTCCGGGGGGGCTACACAAGCACCGGAGCCCATGCCTTTCACTGGAGAAAGAAGTCCTTGGGCTCCCATGCAGGCCCTGTGTGCTCTTATTTGACTTCGCTCTCTCAATGGGCTTGTAACTGATTTTCAAGCCTTTTGGAAATGGGGAAAGGCTGTGGGAGGGGGTGGAGTCTGGCAAGGGAAGAAGGCAAGAAGGAAGCGTGGACACAGCCAGCCTCGCTGGGGTCATAACTTCCGGAGCACCAGCCCCCGGAAGCTTCCCTGACACCCGGCTGGCCTGGGAACTCCCGCAGGCCCCTCTGCCTTGTTCCGGGCCCCACATTCTGCAGCTGGGCACATGCCTCCGGCTAATGATGAGGGCCTGTACTCATTCCCTCCAGGATTGCAATCCTAGGCCTCAACTTCCTGTGACCTCTCTAAGCTCAACCTTCCTTACCTGCAAAATGGGGGAGAAGAACACTATTTCTCAGGGTTGTCGGATTAAATGAACACAAAAACATTTAGCATCCTCCCTGGCAAGGAAAGTGCTGGAGAAATAGGAGGGATTATTATGGTCTCTGTCAGCCCTACCAGGGTATTTATGTATTGTATAGGTCAAGCATTCATTAGGACCTGTCTATGTGAGTTGCTGTGCTGGGGCCAGGAAGAGAACCATGAATAAGGTAGGTACCCTCACGGGTGTTGAGGCCGTCACAGGGAGGCAGGAGCGGAGGGTAGGACAGAATGTTAGTAATAGTAATAATGTGTGGCGGTTAAGCGTCTGCCTTTGGCTCAGGTCATGATCCCGGGGTCCTGGGATCGAGCCCGGCATCAGCCTTCCTGCTCAGTGAGGAGTCTGATCCTATGAGGTGGCTACCGGATTAGCGCCACGTCCAGATGAGGTATCTGAGGTAACTGCCACACTCACAGCCAGGAAGCGGGAGGTCTGGGTGCCTCCACTTGAAAGTGTGTGCTGCATTTCGTGGATGGGACAGGCTGCATCTTTGTATCTTGAGTGTGGGGGGGGTAAGAGATCCAAAGCAGTGGGAATAGGCGTGGCGCTCCCCAGGCCTGGGTGCTGACTGGCTGTGGGTGCAGGAGGTAGAATCTGGAGACTCACTGCCAGGTCTGGGCACAGGTGACCTCTTTGGTGGTGGCCGTGTGTACTGAGATGGGGAACACAGTCAGAGGGGCAGGGTTAGGGCCCCAGCAGGCAGCAGACACAGGGATCAGAATTCAGTGGGGATCTGGGTCTGGCAAGCTGCTGGTGGCCCAGATTTGAGAGTGACGGGTTCAACAAAGTGGGTAAAGCCACTGGAAGGGCTTATTCATTATCCAGAGGGCGTGTGGGCCCACCTAGAAGCAGGCAGAGACTCTGAAGAACATGACAGTCACCAGGAAGGACGGGCAGCAAGAATATTCCAGACTCGCAAGGACCTGGGAAGTCACAGCAGCTGGGGCCATTTAGCTTAGGGGCAGACAGCCCCAGAAGGGATCACGGCAATGCAATGGTAAAACAAAGCCACTGGGTGCTCAGATGCCCTCAGTATACCACGTTCCACCCCCAACAGGTAATATATGTTGAAACTTTCGGTGCTTAAAATTAGAACGCTTTGGTAACCTAAAAATTCCATCTCTTCCTGAATGACTCATTCCCCCATAAATTCAGAAATAAAGCTCCATTGTGCTTATATAGCTGGGTTATTCCAGTAGGAGTGACACCTTATATTGTTTTGAACTTGACCTTACCTGACATCACCCCTAGAATTTGCTCCCCTTTCTCAGACTAGATGACCGAGGCCCCGCCCAGAAGGATCTGAAAGGCAGACCTTCTGGGGCCTTGTGCAGAACTGATTCCAAGCACCAGGACCAAATCAGTACATTGATTCATGATTCAGTCCACTGTGTGTGGGGCGGGGGCTTCGGGCCATGAACCCTCGTGGCAACGATCCAAGGAGTGAGCTCACATTCCCGTGCAGCTGGTTCGACAAGGTTGGAATTGTCCGGCTGTCCCCGACACAGAGGGGTGCTCAGCAAATATTTGCCAAGTGGACAAAAATTTCATCATCCTTGTTGTCCAGTGTGGCAAGCTCCTGCCTGGAACACACAGGGTGGGTAGGTCGGATTCTGGCAGAGGCTGGGACTCCGCACCGAGTGGTTAATCATTCTGGGAGTTCAGACTTGCAAGAGGCAGGGCGGAACCCAGTCAACTCCTCAAAGTTAAACAGCAGCTCTGGGAATCCTGGGAAGGCAAAGCTCAATTTCCGTTCTCCTGCTTCTGGGCCACTCTCTGAACCTGTCTAGACCCATCTGGAACCTTCCCAGAAGGAAAAGCCTCAGCTCTGATCCACTGAGTTCCTGGCTGGGAGGTGGACCGGGGTGGGGGAAGAGAGCCTAGCCAAACCCCCTTGTTTAAATCCCATAGCTCAGAGTGTCTCCTCGTGGAGCTGGGAGACACTCGGCCACCTTCCCTGAGCTTGTCACTTGTGTTTCCAAACCCCGAGCGACCCTCCATTCTCCCCTTGATTCTGAAAATCTGGAAAACCACCAAAGCAAGACCCACTGGAGGGGCTTCCACCCTGCGATTTCTAACTCCAGTCCGGCCCCTCTCTCAAACTAGCTGTGTGCCCTCAGGCAGACCACGCAACCTCTCTTGAGCTTGTTTTTTCACTTGTACAATGAGTCTGTTGCCACTTCACGGTTGGTCCTCCCTTCTCTCTGGAAATATGATAGCACTGGCCAGTTTCACTGGAACACAATTCTGGTATTTGCTGTCCCCTCACCCCCAATGCCAGAAGTACAGGAGGCACTCAACATGCTGAATAAGTAACAGTCCCTTAAAAAAAAATAACAAGAACACTTGATATTTACTCTGTGCCTGGCACCAAGCTCAACAGTCTCAGTGGATTCTTTCATGTAATCCCTGTAATGCTCAAGGGAAATGCAATTCCTCCCATTTTAAAGATGAAGAAACTGAGGCTCAGAGAGGCTCAGCAGTGACCAAGGTCAGGCAGCCTTGTTCAGGGGAGCTGAGACAGGAGCCAGATCAGAACGCACACGCATTTGCAGACAAACCCCTCTCCCTGAAGAGGCAGGGACGCTTCCGGGAGAGAAAATGAGGCTTATCTGAGCATCAAAGGAAGGAGACTTCTGAGCTGCTAGATGTAGCCTCCAGGGGAAGGGGCTGGGATCCCTGTCTACACTGTCCCTGACTGTTGTTATTTGCTCCTAGAGTGGTGGTTCTCAACAGAGAGCGATTTTTGCCTCCCGGGGGATATTTGGTCATGCCTGGGGATGGTTCTGGTTGTCACAACTGGTTGGTGCTCCTGGCATCTAGTGAGTAGAGGCCAGAAATGCTGCTAAACATCCCACAATGCACAGGACGGCCCCGGCAACAAAGAATGATCCCGCCCCAAAAAAACCCTGAGCTAGAAAAATGGGACTCTGCAGGGGTCCCTGGGTGGCTCAGTCGGTTAAGCATCCGACTCTTTGATCTCAGCTCAGGTCATGATCTCAGGGTCCAGAGATCGATCCTTGTGTCGGGCTCCGGGCTCAGCGCAGAGTCTGCTTGTCGCTCTCCCTCCCCCCAACTTGTGCACGCTCTCTCTCTAAAAGAAATAAATAAAATCTTTTTAACAATGGGACTCTGCAATGAGCTCTTGGCTAAATCTTTGTCTGAAATCCCTCATTCTTCACATTTTAGAGGTGAGGGAACAGACTCAGGGAGGTTGGGACTTACTTTAGAGCTCTCACCCAGAAAACCAGGATTCTGTCCTGTTGGCTGGCCCCCTCACGGTCATGGACTTGGGAGGTGACTCAGCGTCAGAGGACATGTGATGGGGGTCGCAGGTACAAAGAAGAGTAAATTCAGAGTCAGGAAACCTGGGTCTGGTCCAGCTCTGTGGTAAATCCATCGTATGCCCTTGGGTAAGTCACTGTCCACTCTGGTTTTATTCTTCTAGGGTTCTCCCCAGTACCAACCAGTGTTGCCTCTTTGCTACTGAGGGGTGCCTTGGGGGCTTGGAGATGGGGAGGTGTGACCCAACTTCAGGCAGGGGCCATCTGGGGCTTTCTCAGACACCATGTCCATTTCTGCACAAAGGACAAATGCAGAAGGAGGACAGAGCCTCTACCCTCGGGAAGCCTGGGGACAGAGGTGTTCCTTGAGTACAAAGGATCAAACCCCCTGGGTCCCCCTGCCCCCTGGTAGCTCCAGAGGCTAGTCTCCAAGCATGGGATCCCAGAGTGGCTGAAGTCCAATCTGGCTGAACTTCACCCCTCTCTTGAACATCCTGGCTGGACTGGGACAGGCCTCCTCATGTGGTACAGCCTCCTACCGGTTTAGACCAGTAGACTGTCTTGACATGAGATGTACAGGTGTGCACTGACCTGGGTGGGTCTTTGGGTGGCACTCTAGACATATCACAGCAAGATTCATCTTAAATAGCCTGGAAGCCAGAAGCGAGACCCCCACCTTCGTGGGGTAGAGGACAGCCTGCTAGGGGCGCTCTGGTCACAGGAATGGAAGGGCTCTGGGGCTCCTGCCCTGCTCAGAAGGCAAGCACAGGATCCCCAAGACCCTCAGGCTCCACAGAGCTCCCTTTGCTGGGCATGCTGGAACCACCAGCTCCGCAGCAACACCAGGCAGCCCCCCAGTTAGAAAGATTTAGCCCTTGGCTATTTTATTTCCTCAATAGTGGAACAGAAAGGAGGTAGGGCCCCAGCTCAGCATGTGGGGCAGCTGCCTTCCCCTGCGCCCATCACCACCTTCTCTCCTGCCTCCACTGGGAGCCCACAAGTCAACGGAACTCCTGGCCTCTGGGATGTCCCCTTATGTGCCACCTGACTCGCAGGAAGAAACACACACTCGGTCAAAGCAGAGTCAGAACCACCAGGCCTGCCACAGCTCCCTGGGTCCTGGCCAGCCTCAGTGGGTCTTCCCCCGGCCCTCGGAGATGACTTCCTCCGGCTGGGCGCGCATGTACCACTCCACCCAGGAGCCGTCGTAGATGGCCACGTTGGGCTTGCCGCAGAGGTAGGCCCCCAGTGCCACATGGCAGGCTGTGACACCAGAGCCACATGTGGCCACCAGCGGCTGGGACAAGTCCACCTTCTTGTCCTGGAACAGACGGTGGATCTCCTCAGGGCTCTTCTCCAGGCCCTCCTTGGTCAGGAAGTCCGTGAAGGGGATGTTCACCGTGCCGGGGATGTGGCCGGGTTCGATGCCTGCAGCAGGAGGGCAGGAAGGAGGGGACAAGTACAAGGGTGTATGAGATACGGCCACTGCAGTGTGAGAGCCTCCCAGGCAGCCACGGCGCTGAACCCTCTCTACATGCACCATCCCACTCAGTCCTCACCGCTAGGCAAGCCAGGTGCCACTTACATGCATCCCTATTTTACAGGGCATGCTGAGGTTCGGGACTGCACAAGGCCACGCATCTAGCAAATTGCTGGCTGGGATTGGGGCCTACGACTCGGACCCCACCAGAGTCGCACTCTGCCCCCGGCTTCCTTCCCAATCACCCATGTGCTCAGGGGGCAACAAAGATAAACAAGCCCTCTGCCTGGCTAGGACTCCTTGCACTTGCAATAAAGGAACTGATCGGGCAGAGTGGACAGTCATCACTGAGCCATTACAAGGATGAGGGGTGTTACAAAGGCCCTACGGAATGTCATGGGACACATTATATAAAGATATTAACAGTAATAATAATCCTTGACATTACTGAGCACTTACTTTGTGCCTGGCACCATTCTGAACCCCTCCGCTGTACCTTCCCCTTTAATCCTCCCCAAACTCTACGGGACAGAAATGATCATCCTCCCCTTTACACAGATGAGGAGACTGAGGCACGCAAACTCAGTTGCCCAAGCCAGAGAGGCCCCAGAGCTGATGCTGTTCACCGCCAGGCCATGGGGGGCAGGGAAGCTTCTCTGAGAAGGCGCTGTGGGTGAGTCACGTAGAGAGGTCTGGGCAGCGGGGACCGAGAGCACCCCAGACTAGGGAAAGGGTGGGTAATCGGAGGAGGCAGGAAATCACATGGTCTTTAGAGGGGTTAAAGGTCACTGGGCAAACGTGCAGACATGGGGGAGCTTGAAACCGCCTGGATTAAGACGTAGGGCTTTGACCTGACTACAAGGGGAAACCAGACTTCCATTTTCAAAGATCATTTCGATCACAGCACGAAGAACCTGGGCAAGGCTAGAGAGCCATTCATTAAGAGGATCATGCCCCCCAAACTTAATCATTTTGCTTTCACCATCCCCTATGAGGCAGGTGTCGCTAATATTCCCACTTTCATGCCAAGGACTGAGATTTGCAACAGAATCAACCCTCACAGCCTATGATTCAAAAATCTTGGCCATTCAGACCCTAGGGTGGGGCTCTAGACTAGTGGCTTCTGCCTCAGTTTCCCCCTGCAGTGGAGTGACACTCCTCCAGGGAGCTGTTGACCCATATCGGTAATTATTGCCAGGATTTAGCATATAGACAGCGCTCCAAGTCCATGGGGAGGTGGGAGTGCATCCTGCATCCCCATGTAGGTGCAGAAATGGCTCACTGGGAGACATCACATGGAGACCAACCCAGAGCAAGGAAGAAGCAAGCCCTCCTCACAGGTTGGCCCCTGTCAAAGCAGGGCTGTCCCTGTGCCTTGAACCCCCACCAAGCAAAGCATGCTTCCCCCTACCCTGCCTGACCGATGTGACCCCTCACTGAGGGGCGCGCTTGTCCAGGTCTCAGCCCGTGCAGTGGGGACAATGACAATGAGGTGATGTCCGCCACTGACCTCGAGGCAGCCTTTGCATGTGCTGGCTCAGTCCGCCTCCACAACAAGCCTGCTAGTGTGTCCTATCATCACCCACTTTATGGGTGAGCAAGCAGGGCTGAGGTAGCATTAAGCACCTCTGTGAAGAGCTGTAACCACAGAAGCACACATTAATTCTATCACCTCCCATTTCTTAGTGCACTTTATGTGTGCAAACACTGAGCTGAGCGTTTCATCCATTCATTCTCATTTGACGTTTGACCCTCACTGCGTCCCGTAGGCTCTGTTTCTGCTCTTATTTCACACGATGCAGAAGCTGCAGTTCAGAGATTAGGTTAGGTGACCTGCCAAGTGGCTCTCTGCCCCATGTTGCTCTCCCTCCCTCCCCCAAGGGCTGAGCTGAACGACCTCACGGGTTCAAGGTGGCATCCTTATCAGGTTGAACCACATAAAATTGCCACCTATGTAGGTTCAAAAAAATAGCTGGCTATCAGCGGTTTCCTATGGTTTGACCTAATGGCAACACTGCTCTGCACGGTTCCATGTGGCAGGGTCCTTCTCAATTCCCCAAATCTCTCTGGGACATTGACTCCATGCCAGCTATCGGGTG